AGAACCCAGGACAGTACCCAGGATAGTTCCCAGGATAGTACCCGGGATAGTACTCAGGATAGTTCCAAGGATAGTTCCCAGGACAATATACAATAAAGTACACAAAATAGTTCCCAGGATAGTTCCCAGGATAGTACCCAGGATAATACCCAGGATAGTACTCCGCATAGTTCCCAGGATAGTACCCAGGAGAGTACCAACAATAGTTCCCAGGATAGTTCCCAGGATAGTACCCAGGATAGTACCCAGGATAGTACTTTGGATAGTTCCCAGGACAGTTCCCAGGATAGTACCCAGGAGAGTACCCAGAATAGTTCCTAGAGTAGTTCCCAGGATAGTACCCAGGATAGTACGCATTATAGTACTCTGGATAGATCCCAGGATAGTTCCCAGGATAGTACCCGGGAGAGTGCCCAGAATAGTACCCAGGAGAGTACACAGAATAGTACCCAGGAGAGTACCCAGAATAGTTCCCAGGATAGTTCCATCATAGTACCCAGGATAGCACCCAGGATAGTTCCCAGGATAGTTCCCAGGATAGTTCCCAGGATAGTAGCCAGGCTAATACACAGGATAGTACCCAGGATAGTTTCCAGGATAGCACCCAGCATAGTTTCCAGGATAGAATCCAGTATAATACCTGGATAGTTCCCAGGATAGTACCCAATGTAGTACCAAGGATAGTACCATGATAGTACCCAGGATAATACCCAGAATATTAACCCTGGATAGTACCCAGGATAGTACCCAGAATAGTACCCAGGATAGTGCACATGATAGTACCCAGTATAGTTCCCAGGATAGTACCCAGGATAGTACCCAGGATAGTACCCAGGATAGTTCCCAGGATAGTACCCAGGACAGTACCCAGGAAAATACCCAGGATAGTTCCAGGGTAATACCCAGGATAGTACCCAGGATAGTAACCAGGATAGTTCCCAGGATAGTACCCAGGATAGTACCCAGGATAGTACCCATGATAGTACCCAGGATATTTTTCCCAGGATAGAAACTCCGGGATAGTACCCGGGATAGTACCCGGGATTGACCCAGGATAGTACCCGACATTCCTCAGGATAGTCCCCAGGAAAATACCCAAGGATAGTACCCAGGATAGTACCCAGGATAGTACCCAGGATAGTCCCTAGGATAGTACCCATATAGTACCCAGATAGTACCCAGGATAGTACCCAGGAGAGAACCCAGGATAGAACCCATGATAGTACCCTTTTAGTACCTGGGATAGTACCCAGAAAAGTCCCCGGGATAGAAACCCATGAAAAACCCAGGTTTAACCCAGGAAAGTACCCGGGAAAAATACCCAGGATAGAAACCCCAGGATAGAAACCCCGGGATAACCCAGTAATTCCCGGGATGTACCCGGGAAATAGCCCCCCGGATGTACCCGGGATAGTACCCAGGATAGTACCCAGGATAGTACCCAGGAAATTTTTCCCAGGATAGTTCCCGGGAAGTACCCAGATAGTACCCGGGATAGTACCCGGGAAGAAACCCAGATATACCCGGGATAGAACCCAGGATAGTACCCGGGAGAGTACCCAGGATAGTCCCGGGATAGTACCCAAGATAGTACCCAGGATAGTACCCAGGATAAAAACCCAAAAAGAAACCCAGGATAGTACCCATGATAGTACCCGGAAATAGCCCCCGGGATTTTCCCAAAATAGAAAACCGGGATATTACCCAGGATAAAACCCGGAAAAATTTCCCAGGATAGTACCCAGGAAAAGTACCCGGGATAAAACCCCAGGATAGTTCCCGGGATAGAAACCCGGGTTAGTAACCGGGATGAAACCCAGGATAGTAAAAAGGAAAGAAACCCAGGAAAGAAAACCAGGTTTAGTACCCAGGATATACCCGGGATATTTTCCCAGGATAGTTCCCAGGATAGTACCCGGGATAGTACCCATGATAGTACCCGGGATAGTCCCCAAGGAAAGTAACCAGGATAGTACCCGGGAAAACCCATGAAATTACCATGATAGAACCCGGGATAGTACCCAGGATAGTACCCGGGAAAAGCCCCAGGATAGTTCCCAGAAAAGTCCCCGGGATATCCCCTATAGTACCCAGGAAAAGTACCCGGGATAGAACCCAGGATAGAACCCTGAATATTTTCCTAGTTAAATATAACTTGATTTTGGTAAAAAAGTTAAAAGGGTTTTTTTAAAAATTTTTTTTCCAAAAACTGAAGAATTTTTCCCCATCAATCGGTTTAAAAAATTTTTAAACCATGATGTTTTTTTTTATGGGGCACAAGATTCATTAATTTTTTGAACCCTTAAGTCAAAATTTGCCATTTTTTAATAAATAAAGGGGAAAATTTTTTTTGCATTTTTAAAAAGAAGGGTTCTTGTGATCGCCCTTCAAATTTTTCACTGTTTTTGTGCTTTTTTAAAAGCAAGTTCATTTTTCAATGTTTTTGTGAAATATTTTATTTACAAAATTTTAAATTAAAGTAAAAATTTTTTCACCATGTAATGTCGGGAAATCCCCTTTTCGATCGACCCCAAAAACCTCTAGAAAAAATTTTAAAATTTTCTAAAAAAATAAAGAATCAAATTTTTTTTCTTACAGGATTTAAAAAAATTTGAAAGAATCCCTTTTTTTAGGCTTTTTAAAATTTTTAACATTTTTAGGTTTTACCAGGGGTTTTTGGAGATAAACGATATATATAAATATAAAATAATAAAAATATTTTTTATATATAATGTTATTTTATATATATATAAAATTTATATATAAATAAAAATAAATAAAATATATAAAATATATATATTTTAAAAATAATAAATATATATATTAAAATATTTAAAATTAAATAAAATATATAAAAAATATATATATTATATATATTATATATATATATATATATATAATATGTGTGTGGTGTTTTGTTGGTGTAAACTTACTTTCACATAAAAATTTGCATACATATATATTTTTTAGTTTTTTTTTTGCCACATTTCATTTTATAAACCACTCTAAAATATTCCTTTGGCATTCATTGAGGTAGATAAAGGCGGGCTTGTGGAGCTGGGGGATACCTGCCGGGTCACGCACCCTCCCTCGACATCAAATTTAATTATTATTTTTTATTTATTAAAAATTATTACAAATTCTTTTTTTTTTAAATTAAAATTTATTTTTTATTATTTTTAAATTATTATTTTTAAATTATTATTATTACTACTACAAACTACTAACTACTATTATTGTTTTTAAATTATTAGAATTAGCAGTATGGAAGTTATTTTTAAATTCAGGGGAAAAGCTCTTAACCCTGGGGGGTTATACAGCCCCTGGAAGGTAATCGGTAGGTTTCCCAAAAAGGCCGGGTAGCCCCCAGTTTCTCGATCAAAACCCTTTACAAATTTAAATTAAATCGGTTTTTTTTCTCCATTTTCTAAATTACCAGGTACAATCACTCGGGTACCTTTTTTACTGCATGGCTAACACCAGGTCCCTTTAATTTACTCCCTGGGTTTAAAACAAGGACGGGAGGTGTAAGGAGACTAACACCCAAGGGGGTAGGTAAAATTTTTGGGATGAGGGGGCGGGGAGGGTGAGTGAAAAGGGGTTTGGTGGATGAGTAAGATAGGGTGGGGGGATGAGTGATGATAGGGGGGTGGATATTAAAGATGGGGTGGGTGGATGATTGATGATAGGGTGGGTGGAGAGTGATGATATTGGGGGATGATAAAGATAGGGTGGGGGGGATAGTAAATGATAGGGGGGGTTTGAGAGTGAGGAAAGGGGTGGGGATGATAATAATAGGGTGGGGGGTTTAGTGATGATATTTGGGGGTGATGATGATAGGGGGGGGTGATGATTGATGATAGGGTGGGTGGATGAGGATGAAAAGGTTTGGGGGGGATGAGGGGATGATGGGGTGGGGGGATGATAAAGATAGGTGGTGGATGAGTATGATGGGGGGTGGATGAGAATGATAGGGGGGTTTGGAGATGAGGGTGGGTGGGGGGATGAGTGAGAAAGGGTGGGGGGAAAGATTTAATGATAGGGGGGTGGATAGTGATGATGGGGTGGGGATGAGTAAAAAGGGTTTGGGGGAGAGTGATATGGGGGGGTTTTTGGGATGAGTAAATAAAAGGGGGGGTGATGAGTAATGATGGGTGGGTGGATGAGTAATGATAGGGTGGGGGGAAATAAAGGATGATAGGGGGGGGTGGATGAGTGATAAATGGGGGTGGGTGGTTTAGTGATGATAGGGGGTTTTGGATAGTGATGAAGGGTGGGGATGGGGTAATGTTGGGGTTGGGTGGATGATGATGATTGGGGGGGTTGGATGAAAATGATGGGGTGGGTGGGGGAGTAATATAGGGGGTTTGGTGAGGATGATAGGTGGGTGGATGAGGATGAAAGGGTGGGGGGATGATGATGATAGGGGGGGTGATGTTGATGATAGGGTGGGGGGAGGAGTGATGATAGGGGGTGGATGGGGATGATAGGGTGGGGGGATGAGTGTATAGGGTTGTGGATGAGTAACTTGATGCGGGCAACCATGGACAACATCACAGAGGGGCTGCAGTGAGGGGTTTATTATCCCGGGGCTGGTGGTCACTTTTTACTCATAAAAAATGACGGGGATTGAAATGACTCAAAAGTTTTGGGTTAAAACCCCGGTTTTCCAAAAATTCTCCCTTCCCCCCCCCGGGGCCCCCTCTCAGGGTTAAGGGGTCTCATTAGTGTGTCTTGTTCGGGGAAGGGGTGCCTTAAAACCCTCCCTTTCCTAAAGGGAACCCCTCCTGCTTTTACCTTGAAAATTTGGTTTTCCCCCGCTAACTGCCCCCCTTTTAAATTTTTCCTCTCTCTCCCCTCTCCCCCCTTTTCCCCTCTCTCTCTCTCTTCATCCCTCGTCTTACCTCTATATCCCTTTGTCCCTTCCTCCTCTCCCTCTCACCGTCTCTACGTACCGTCCACTGTCATTGTCTCTCTGGACAGTGCTCTGTCTGACTCACCTTGCCACTAGAGAAGGCCTTGCGTATGCAGGCCAGACAGATGGTGTGGAAACAGGAGAGGAATTTGGGCCTGTGGGAGGAGTCATCGAACCTGCGACAGCAGCCTGCGCAGGTCAGCACTGAGCGCAGGGGCGTCGCTAAGCCCTCTGTCATGCTTGTCCGTCCGCCTGCAACACAGGAAAACACCGGTCAACACTCGCGTGCAACACAGGTACACACAACACTGGTATACGCTCTGCAATACAGGGGCAACACTGGTCAAGTACACAAGTACACAGTACACAAGTGGTGATGCCAGGTTACCCTTTTCAACACAGGTGCAACACAGGCACGTGCAACACAGAACACTCAGGTCGAGATCAATGGGAGGCAACATTCTGTGTACTTCACTACTGGCTGGTGAGCATCGTAGTTCAAGGTGTTGATAGTGATGGTGGTGGTAGTAGTTGTGGTAGCGGTGGGGATTCTGTCGATGGTGATGGCGGTAGTGATGGTGATGGTAGAGGCAGCGATGGTGATGAGGAAGGAGGATGAGTAATGGGTGGATGGGGAAGGAGTATATGAGTGTAGTGGGCCCTCGTAACAGAGACGCTAATGATCTCACACATACAAACACTCTATACTCTCAAGAAGTCAAGAACGTGCTTCACACACATCTCTCTCTCTCTCTCTCTCTCTCTCTCTCTCTCTCTCTCTCTCCCTCACATACGCAGTTTGAACTCTAGATCAAGGGGTATTAACTAGATTCTGCAACACAAACTGTGTTTACTACATAGAATAGATTACCTGAGACTGACATTCCTCTGGTACTGTCGTTTGTCTGTCTCTCTGCCTCTTACACACAGGAACAGAGAAACTGCAACATGCCTACTGGACCATGCTATGCAGGTCCAGTAGGCATGTTGCAGTCACTCACGCCTCACTCTCAGCCTATATATACTGTCTTTTTAACCTGTATGTTAGAAGTGATCAAGGTCTCAGGACCGAAACGTTTTCTAATAAATATGTCCTAGTGTTACTTACGTGTCTTTCTAAACCAATTTGTGGGTATCTATTACCAATGTTTATACCATAATGGAACTTGCCAACACACTTCCATAGATGTTTTTAAGAAGCATCAACATTAATCAGGTTACTTACTGATCAAAGTTGATAACACTGAGACTGATAACAGTTCAGTTTCTTGAAGTTAACTTAATAACCAGAAATACCTTAGATTTACCAAGAAAAAGATCATGACTGACTTACTAGAATTTTCCACTTATATATACGAAAAATGTTATGAGAAAATCCCAAGAGACGTATATCTTCATAACCTAAAACAAAAAAAATCGACAAGGTCCTCTATCGAGGATCCCTGATCAAAATGGCAGCGCATGGTGTAGGAGACGAGGTTCATGCCTGGATGATTGTCTGGCTCACAGACAGGGAACTGAATGGCACTGATCGGCGAGATGTCTGAGTGACTAGACGTAAAGACTGGTGTTCTTCAGGGAGCAGTTCTTGGTCTCATCGTCTCCACAGTGGACATGGATGATCTCCAGATAACGATCACATTTCAGATGACAAATTTTGCCTGTGACACAAAACTAAGGAAAAGACCAACATTCAGAGCTGACTGTTTAGGTAGTCAGAGTCATCTGGAGAGTGTTTAGGTAGTCAGAGTCATCTGGAGAGTGTTTAGGTAGTCAGAGTCATCTGGAGAGTGTTTAGGTAGTCAGAGTCATCTGGAGAGTGTTTAGGTAGTCAGAGTCATCTGGAGAGTGTTTAGGTAGTCAGAGTCATCTGGAGAGTGTTTAGGTAGTCAGAGTCATCTGGAGAGTGTTTAGGTAGTCAGAGTCATCTGGAGAGTGTTTAGGTAGTCAGAGTCATCTGGAGAGTGTTTAGGTAGTCAGAGTCATCTGGAGAGTGTTTAGGTAGTCAGAGTCATCTGGAGAGTGTTTAGGTAGTCAGAGTCATCTGGAGAGTGTTTAGGTAGTCAGAGTCATCTGGAGAGTGTTTAGGAAGTCAGAGTCATCTGGAGAGTGTTGGGATCGAGTCATTGGAGGGTTTGGGGTAGTAGAGTCAATGAGAGTGTTTAGAAGTAGAGTCATTGGAGAGGTTTGGGAAGTCAGGTCATTGGAAGTTTTTAGGTAGTAGATCATTGGAAGTGTTTAGGAAGTAAGGTCCTGGAGATGTTTAGGAAAGTAGAGTCATCTGGAAGTGTTTAGGTAGTCAAGTCATCTGAGAGTTTTAAAAAGTCAAGTCATCTGGAGAGTGTTTGGGTATCAGAGTCTGTGAGAGTGTTTAGGTATCAGAGTAAAAGGGAAGTGTTTAGGAATTCAAGCATCTGGAGAGTTTTTAGTAGTCAACCCCTTTGAGATTTTTGGGTAGTCAAGCATCTGAGAGTGTTTGGGTAGTCAGAGTCCTGAGAGTGTTTGGTAGTCAGAGCATCTGGAGAGTTTTAGGTAGTCAGAGTCACTGAAGTGTTTAGGTATCAAGTCATCGGGAATTGTTTAGGTAGTCAAGTCATCGGGAGAGTTCAGTAGCAAGTCATCGGAAGTGTTTAGGTATCAAGTCTCTGAAGGTGCGGGTAGTCAAGTCACTGGGGGGGTTTTAGGTAGAGAGTCATCTGGAAGGGGTTTAGGTATCAGGCATCTGAAGTGTTTTAGTCAGAGTCATCGGGAGGTTTTAGTTATCAGAGTCATCGGAGAGTGTTTGGGTAGTAAAGGGCATCGGGAGGGGTTTTTTAGGTAGTCAAGTCATTGGAGAGTGTCCTAGTATCAATCATCGGGAAGTGTTTGGGTATCAGAGTCACTGAAGAGTGTCTGGGTAGCCCGGTCACGGGAAGTGTTTGGGTAGTCAGATTTCATCGAAGTGTTAGGTATCAGTCATCTGGAAGTTTTAGGTAGTCAGAGTCTCTGAGAGTGTCTAGGTATCAAGTCATCTGGAAGTTTTTTAGGTAGCAGAGTATCGAAATGCTAGGTAGTCAAGTCATCTGGAAGTTTTAGATCAAGTCACGGAGAGTTTTAGGTAGTCAAGCCGGAGAGTGTTTTAGGTAGTCAGATCTCGGGAAGTGTTTGGGTTCAAGCACTGAGAGTTTTTTGGGTATCAAGCAGGGAATGTTTAGGTAGTCAGAGTTTTCTGGAGAGTGTCTAGGTATCAGAGTCATCGGAAAGTGTTTAGGTATCAAGTCTCTAAAGAGTGTCTAGTTATCAAGCATCGGAAGTGTTTAGTAGTCAAGCACTGGAAGTTTTTAGGTAGTCAAGCCCTCGGAGAGTGTTTTTTATCAGATCATCGGGAGAGTGTTTGGGTAGTCAATCATCGGAGTGTTTAGGTGTCAGAGCCCATCGGGAATGTTTAGGAAGTCAGATCACTGGAATGTTTAGGTGTCAGATCATCGGGAGAGTTTTTAGGTATCAAGTCCTGGAGATTTTTTAGGTAACAGGTCATCGGGAAGTTTTAAATCAAGTCCTGGAGGGTTTAGGAGTCAGAGTCATCTGGGAGTGTTTATATCAGGTCATCGGGAATGTTTGGGTATAAAGGTCATCTGGAGAGTTCTATAGCAGATCATCGGGAAAAGTTTTTTAGGTAGCAGAGTCATCTAAAGATGTCTAGTACAGAGTCATCTGGAGTTTTTGGAGTCAGAGTCTCGGAGATTTTTAGGTATCAGAGTCATCGGGAAGATTTTATACCCGATCATCTGGAGAGTGTTTAGGTATCAGAGCTCTGGAGAGGGGTTTTAGTAGTCAAGTCATCGGGAAATGTTTTTGGGGAAGTCAATCATCGGGAGGGGTTTTTTAGGTATCGGGTCATCGGGAATTTTTAGAACAGAGTCTCTGAGAGTGTTTGGGGAAGCAGAGTCATCTGGAAGTGTTTAGGAAGCAGAGTAAACTGAAGGTTTGGGAAGTCAAGTCATCGGGAGAGTGTTTGGGAAGTCAAGTCATCTGGAAGGTTTAGGAATAATCACTAAAAGAGTTTTTTAGTATCAGAGTCACTGAGAGTGTTTGGGTAGTCAGAGTCACTGGAGATGTTTAAATCAGAGTCACTGGAGAGTGCTTGGGTATCAATCATGTGGAGTGTTTAGGTATCAAGTCATCTGGAGAGTGTTTAGGAAGTCAGGTCATCGGAGTTTTAGGAGTCGAGTCATCTGGAAGTTTTGGGTATAAAGTCCTGGAGAGTGTTTAGGTAGTCAGAGTCACGGGAATGTTTGGTAGTCAGAGCCCTCGGGAAGTGTTTGGGTTTTTCCGGGTCATCTAAGTGTTTGGGAAGTCAGATCTCGGGAGTTTTTTAAGGAAGTCAAGTCATCTGGAGAGTGTTTAGGTGGGGCCCCCCCCCAACCCATCGGAGAGTGTTTAGTAGTCGAGTCATCTGGAAGTTTTGGGAAGTAAGTCATCTGGAGAGTGTTTGGGAAGTCAAGTCATCTGGGAGTTTTTTAGGAATCAGAGTCACGGAGAGTTTTAGGAAGTCGGTCATCGGAAGTGTTTGGGAAGTCAGAGTCACGGGAAGTTTTTTAGGAAGCAGTCATCGAAAGGTTTGGGTAGCAGAGTCATCTAAGTGTTTAGGTAGTCAAGTCATCTGGGAGTGTTTGGGAAGTCAGAGTCATCGGGAGAGTGTTTTAGGTATCAGAGTAGTGGAAGGTTTAAGCAATCATCGGAAGTGTTTGGGAATCGAGTCTCGGGAGATGTTTAGGTATCAAGCACTGAAGTGTTTGGGTATCGAGTCATCTGAGATTTTGGGTATCAAGTCATCTGAATGTTTGGTAGAAGGTCATCGAAGTTTTTTGGGGTAGCGAGTCATCTGGAAGTGTTTAGGAAGTCAAGTCATCTGAGAGTTTTTTAGGAATCAAGATCCGGAGAGGTTTGGGTGGGCAGAGTCACTGGAGAGTGTTTAGGTAGTCAGATCATCTGGAAGTGTTTAGGTACAGAGTCATCGGAATGTTTAGAAGTCAAAACACTAGATGCTTGGGGGTAGTCAAGTCAGGGAGAGTTTTTGGTACAACATCGGGAGAGTGTTTAGGAAGTCGAGTCACTGGAGAGTTTTTGGGTAGTCAGACATCTGGAAGGTTTAGGTATCAAGTCATCGGGAAGTGTTTGGGTAGTCAAGTCATCGGGGAGAGTGTTTGGGTAGTCAGAGTCAGGGAAGTGTTTTAGTAGTCAAGTCATCTGGGATTTTTTTAGGAAGTAGG